TGGACACACTGTCATCAAAGATTTCGGGGTACAGTCAAAAATGCGGGCCAAAATGGCGGTCCTATGGATCCACATTGGCTTGCCTCCCGAAAAAGCAAGAGAGACTCCATGATCTTGCCCCAAAAAAAGAAACTCCATGATCTCGCTTAGTTGGAGCAGTTGAAGGAAGGCACTGGTCGAGGTGCGTTTCTGCGCAATCATCCCCCCCGCCTCCCACCCACCCTCCCCCCCAGAGCTCTGGTAGTCAAAATATCAACCCACACAGTTGGTAGGGGGAGGCGCCAACACCCACATAGTTGTGGATACAACTGCACGGGAACACTCCATATCTTGCAGCCCGTGTCAATCCAAACCTGCAAGGGTAAGTAAATCGCTATGCTCAAATCTAGACCTCAAGTCCTCAACTCCAAGCCCACCATCCCTCACACTCTTTAAGCCTTCTGCAAAGATCTTAGGACTTGTCCCTAAAGGTAGTTGCGCGCTTGAAATCAAGCTCCTCCTTGCCGGATGTCCAGCCTAGCCGCTGGAGGTTATGCGTGAAGGCTGCCCTGGGCCCAGGCTTCCGTCTTCAAGTCGGGGGCGGGTCTCAGCCGAGGATGGGAAAGCTAACGCTAAGGAAACCCTTCAGAAAAGCCTGCCATGCTACGAGATGTCTTGATCACCTGCTACCTGTCTTGCAGCTCTGACGCATGGTACGTGATTGCAAGGCAACTTAACATGTAACGTTCCTTGAAGCTATCCTGGAAGCTGCTGGAAGTTGACACCCAGCAAGCTGAACAACACATTGCGAAAAAGGAGCAGGTTGGCCATTCCGAAGTTTTGAGCAAGCTCATCCAGCATGGTTCGCTCATCACCAAACCTTATGCCACAGCTCAGAAACCAAATCCACTGCCGCCTTTCACAGAATACCATATGCGGGACGCTGACGCTGACGCCCCCTTCTCCTACCTCACAAACAAATGCAGTTCCAATTACCATGCGATGAAGCGATCAAGCACTCGCGTGACAATCGATGGGGGTAAGAGGACGACTCGAAATTTGAAGTATCCACATCAACAACCCTCACGACGGGCCAGCATTGTGAGAGTCAGCTGAATATGCAGAGCACCTGTTCTGATCCCACACGAAGTCCCTCGGTAATCCCAATATACAGCTGCGTGCCCGAACTTGAAATCCTCATCGGCAGAGTCCAGTCTTAAAAGTTCCCTTCATGCGCTCACATCTTCTGAGGAACATCTTGACGCACCACATGCGGAAGCCCATCCAAATTTCTGAGGTTGTTGGGTCGATCTGATCGAACGTAAGCTCCTCGTGGGATGCTTGGTTTCTTCAATCCACGAGCAGTTTGAAACGATAGCAGGACCAATTCTGGTGAATCAGTGAAGCCTGCTCCGGGTGAATTACAAAGGTATCTATGAAGTGCCAGCTTGACAAAGACAAAGTTTTTGAACCTAAATCTTGAGGAGCTTCCAGCTGCACAGGCAGGCTGCTGCTCATTCTCCGCCCACATTGACATGTCAGAGAAATGAAGGACCTCCTGAAACACTAGAGCGCTGCCTCTGCAAAATGAGCCACGGGCCCATCGTTTTGCAGGACACAACCAAGCTCAACTGTCCAGCACATCCACTGTCCTCCAGCTGCTCCGTGTCAAGGCGTCGGAACAGTAGCTCGGCATCTCCTGATGCTGTCAGTCTGAGCTTGCCGATCAGACACTTAGGAAGGCTACATGGGACCTTGTAAGTACAGTAGAGTCACGGGGCTTGGATTTCGACAAGCGTCCCCTTGTGGCTGCATGCTTGTCTGAGCAGTTGCTGGCATGCGCAAAGCTGCACACTAATAAAGCTCTTCTGAAGACGGCTCTTTGTGCTTAAATTCTTTCCGCGGCAGCATCCAGATAGACTGCCATCACTCAGGCTCAGCAAATCCCAGCCTGGATACCGCAGCGCCTTCAATCCAGTGCAGAACTGTTGCCGGCTGATCTGTCTCTCCTTCGGGAGCAGAAACTGCAAGCTCATCAACGCTTCATGTGAGCAAGGGGTTTGGGTCATGTGAGTGCGGTGACAAATTCTGAGCCTTGCTACAGCATGCGCGCGGCCCGTGATCTCAACGTCTCTGTTATGGCTCGGGGCTTGTCAAACCCTAATTCGATCCCCATCCGTGGAGCCAAGATGTCGCAATAACAGCGGACGATTGCCTGCGGTTTATAGGACGCGCGTGTATGGGCGAGGTTGTATTCCTCCAAAGCTGTATCTGTACATAAATCAAGTATCTCGATGACTCACCGCACTTACGTGATAGTGCACATCAGATATGGGTTTGCATCATTCAGGTGGCTAATTAGGAGCTATGGCAGTGTCAACCTGGCCACATTCTCCGTCGAGGCTCATAGTGCCGGTCGAAATACTGAACCCATGTCCGAAGCATGTTGCCGTCCTGAGCAGAATATGGTGAGCAAGTCGCAGCGCTGCGAACACTTGCGTCTGCTGGATCATGCTGCGAGCAGAAGTTCGAAGACCACTTGACGAACAGTGAATTGACATGCAACGATCCCAATATCTGGACTAGCTGGACCCTACACCCAACTGGATTGAACCCCATGCAGGCCGTTTGGGGCTTTAAATTCAAAACCCCTCTCTGCCGGCAAGTCGCAGCTTCGAGCAACAGCTTCAGCGTCTCGACTGCCTTGTCCCGTTCCTGGGAGAGTGCTCGTTGGAGCCACGAGACCAGCAAAAACGAACAACCCGTCCCATGCTGGTCGGGCACTTGCCATTGAACTCTGGAAATTCTTATTGCTGCGCCTGCGGGGAATGATTGCTAAACTACTGCTGCTGCCACCAGGAACAAATACTGCCGTTGGTGGTGGACGTTTGAATCAGTTACAGTACAAGCCCGCCATCAGTGATGAGATGCGTTGGCTCTTCTTCATGCGGCACGTGCTGAGCAATCATACTGCCGCAAGGCCAAGCTTCTTTGAGCACATTCTGGTGCTTAGGGTCTGGTTTGCCTCGACCTCGTCCGCTTCTCCGCGGCATGGCAGCGCAGGAAGGAGGTTTTGGGTACCAAGCCTATTAGCTTCTGGGAGCAACCCCAAAACACGCATGTTCAGCTTGCACTTTGGACGTACGGCATTCTGAAAGGCGGGGTTCGTCGAGTTGTCTGTATATAATTTGGTCTTCAAGAGTCTTGAGGTGCACTAGCTCATAAATGTCCGTTTTTTGCCGGTGTATGCTACACGTGCCAGTGCATCTGCACGGCACTTTCCCTTCAGGGTCCACGCTTTAAATCAAGGAGTCAGCACCAACCCTTGGGCATAGGACTTCCGGCACGAAAGGCACCAGGTGGATTGCGGGTTCAGTTCCTCTGGTCGCGTGGACCCTGCGGGACGAGTTCAAAAAACAAAGTAAGCCTGCATGTGCAGGGCACCCCACGAGTCCGGAAGCTCCTCGTCTTGTTCACTGTGAACTTACTGGCCTCCTGACAAATGTTGAGAATGCTTGGCTACAAAAATATGTAACCTTCAGCTCCGGGACTCGTTAACGTTCACGCCTACTTCAGCACGAACTGGAGCTGCTGCTTGAGGGCTGAATGAACACAGAGCTGCTGCCCACTTTACAGTCCTGTGCCGCCTCTAGCGTGCGCATCAGACATGACTGCAACAACAGCCAACGGAAGTGTATACGCTAATGTTGTTTTGTTGTAATTACAAGCCCTTGCAACCTGACAGCCGCAAGACTTTACGCCGAACCACATTGCAGGTCTTTGCTGTCATCATCATCACCCTTCCCTATCAGACCTGTAAAAAGTTCAAAGCCACTTTCGGGTCGTCTCACTTCAGGCTCCCCCACTCTGCGGTCAAGGAAAAACCCCGCCAGCTTCTGCTTGTTTGTTGGGACGTCCCTTTCGGGGGCCTGGCCAACCTTGCCCTTCTTTAGCCCGAACCTGGGATCTTTGGACGACATGCGAATGGGGGAAGGCGAAAACATGAACTGCCAATAATTGACAGTATCTGACTTCGTGACCACTGACTGGAAGCAAGTCGCTGAAAGCGCAAAGACTGCTGAACTAAGTCGTACTTCAACACGATGACATGGAAAAACACAAGGCTTTACTGTACTGGCAAGTCTGCAGCAGATCCACCCAACATGAACTCGGCCTACACGCAGAAGTTCCACTAGCCCTGCCATGCCGGGGTGCTTTGCGGGCAAAATGGATGGCTGCGAACTTCCATCTGCAAGCGTGGGTGGTTGGTTGCTGAAATCTGCTTGCTAATCTGTTGTTGTTGGGACTTGTCACAGGTTCAGGGTTTGTGCTTAGGATGCTTTGCGTTCAAATGCGCCACTGCCACGGTTACCGAACTCCCTCATGAGAGTAGTCAATGGAAGTACCGTTTCTGGGGGGCACCCAGGAACATCAACGCAACATCTGCAATGACAGAAGACTGCATCTCAGCCCGGCTACTGCAGCTCAAGACTGGCACTTCGGCAACCTCCCCAGTGCGGGAGAGAGCCACGGAGTCTTCCCAATGATTCAGCCTTGGCGGCCAGCCCACCATTACTGGAGCGCTTAATTGCAAGGACTTCATTGCAGTCACTGCTTGGTTTGGGCTTCACAGGTTTCAGCTTCTGAAGGGGCTTGACAAGCCTGAGATCTCACCAGCTGAGTACTGTCTGATCCGCTGACAACTTCTTGGTTTAGCTAGGTCTTACGTCTTGCTACTGATTTTCAGTGCCACCTTAGTAGCAGGAATCTGAAGAACCTGGGGGTGAAGCCACGCGCCGAAGTGATGGAGGCACCGATGGAGCTTCTGGGGCCTGCCACCTCTGGACTTCAGCATCTAGTAGGCAAATAAACTGCTTCAAGCGGCACACTGCTTTCTGATCAATGGCTCTTTTGAGCTGTACAACAAGGCTTTGAAATCAGATCATGCTCAGGCTGCTCTGAACAAGACAACCCGCTGACATTGGCACACCAATTAAGGAAACGCCATCACCCGACAATCGGAAGTCCAGCCATCAACAAAACACTGTCTTGCTTGCTTCAAATGACTTTGCTTGAGGTAGTGCCCTTGCCCCACTTGGTTAGTATGAGCAGCCTTGCAAAAATCCCATCCAAGCCTGCCCACCGCTGACACCAAGCCGAAATTCTCTGCTTCCTCCAGGCAGGCCGAATCTAAGCCTGGGCGTTGTCATTGAGGATAGCCCGTATATGATGTCTACTGTATGCTTGAACTGAAAAGAGTACAGCACGTTAACTTCACATTCGGGCAATAGTCTCGTTGATGATCGTAGAATGATGGACTGGTGCTGCTGGACTGCTGGCGGCAGTGGCACTACCAAAACCTCCACTACTGCCACTATCAGTGCTTCTGCATCTTCTTGGAGCTGTTTCTGCTAAGTATTACTGCCACTGCCGGCGCCGGCACCGCCACCACCACCAGTACCTTGCCCATCGCGACGACCGCCACAAACGCGACGACTCCTCTTCGTGCTACAACTGTCACCACCACCACCACCACCACCACCACCACCACCACCACCACCACCACCACCACCACCACCACCACCATGGCTACTAAGATTACTGCAGTTGTACAAAAATATGTTGAACTGCGGAGAGCTGGGCAAGCTTTTGGCTTACCACTGTGTTCCGTGTATGGAAAACAAATGTGATCTCGGAGAGTCCAATGAAGTCATGAAATTGCACTTTTCTGAGGCACAGACATCATTTCTTCTGACGGTAATAGTAAACAATCATCTTGATGTGGCTCAAGCCGGGAGCTGGGTGAGGGCTGTGGTAATGATCTTAATAATGAGGAAGTGATATGAGATGCATGACTTAATTGCGGCCGACAGCACCCAGCAGAAAGTCCGCCCAGGAAGGCGGAAGCCACGGTGGAGGTTGAGGCAAGTAGCCGCTGATGGGCAGCCTAAGCATGCAACAGCTACGGGGCAGGGTCCTTGTAGTGAAGCATTCCAAGCATTCTCGACGAGCAACTCAAAAAACATCCACCGCCGCAACGTGGCGAGAGGGGAGCAAGGTGGGGTGTCGGCCGTTTGGTTCAAGTCTGAAACATAATGACGGCCTTCCTCTGTTGTAAGCTTGAAGCAAAAAACACAGTCAGATGCATTTCAAAGTGGAAAGGCCATGCGGCAGCTGCGCCTCGACTGGAAGGGCCCTGAGGATGGCCTGCGCCTACATTGGCAACCACAACCGCAACCACAACCGCCTTGCTAGCAGTGGCAAAACGAGTTTTACAAAGCGTAGGACTGGGGTCTCTAGTGGAAAGTGTCCAAGGTCTTGGGTTAGATGCACGCAACTCATGAAGATGTTGCACGCAGACCTCGCACAATTGTTCTGCACAAGGCGAAGCGCTCCATGCGCGGCAGCACTCCTGCAGCCATGAGGCACTTCGAGCACGGGCCCAGTAGAATTTGGGCTTGCCCGTAGGTTGGAGGAACCGGCGCATGTATGAAATTCATGCCATGTTCCCGAATGTTGTGAGAGAGAAGCAAGAAATCAGATCCGCATTGTCAAGGAATCCACATGGATTCGGCCGGCCAACAGGATGCTACTTGTCCTCTGGGCCGCCCCAAAAGGTGCGCCACAAAGCCAGGGCAGCAGCAGCAGAAACAAGGCTCCCTGTCTCAGACTAGGACCACTTGGACATGCAGTTGGACCTTCCCTCCCCCGGCACAGTGCTATCCATGTTCATGGAAGTAAGTCAAATAGGAAGTTGCAACAGGAATGATGTGCGCTCCCTTCCCCGTTCAAAATGTTTCCACAAGACCGCCCGCTTGAAACCTTAGCTTGCTGGCTAATCTTACGAGCAGATTTTCCAGGAGCTCAGAGCTGGTTAAGTTTCGCTTTTGGGGGATTATACGAATGCTAGGAAGATGATTATATTTGTCACCTACAAACCTGCGGCATCATCATCGGGGTCATCAAGAGAACCACCCAGCCTCGCCCGGGCCCAGCCCAAACTCTTCTGCCGAAGCGCATCTTCCATGGCATCTGCGCTATACAGACAACGCGCTCTTTTCTGAAGAGCTCTGCGATGCACACAGTTGCAGTCTTGCAGGTAACTTGAGACAAAACATCAAAAAAGCGATTCGTGCAAGTTTGCCATAAATAAAACAACCTTTCAGCCCCTCAAGCTCCTTGCAAGGGAGAAAACGTGCTGGAGTACTTTATCTAGCAGTTCATGACTTGTCAACAGCTCGGCTAGGAGTCCACACATTGCATAGCCAAGAAAAGGCCCAAAGGCAAAACATGATGCGGAAGCTGCACGAGACCAGGCTCATCGGCTCATCTGTGTTCACTAAATCAGCATTACCCATCAACAATCTCTGACTCAGAGCTGGACCGCAAGCGCACCTGGTTTTTGAACACTTCCAGTCAAAGGATGCCCGCCCTCCACCACCATACATGCACAAGGACAAGTCACACAGTCGGCCTTTGTTTGAAACACAAGTCCCGGGGAAGCCTGCCTATCACTGTCAGTCGTTCTGCTGGCACCAGTATGCCAAGCCAGTTGTCCTATCAATGGATATGGTGCGAGCTGGAACGTCATCACGGGGCATGGCCCTTTGAGCTTGGGAAGGAACGAGCAAAGAATGGCCGATCTGAAAAGTAAGCGAGGGAACGTTCCTGTTAGCACCAGGCGGACTGGATTGGTTTAATGGCTAGAGCCTGCCCTGCGCTGTGAAGAACCGGCCTCAAGGTATTCTGAGTGCCGAGCTTGGTCGCATGACTGGCGCCGGCGGGGTTGCCGCAACAGGCCTCTTAGCAAAATAATTTTTGACTCACGGCATCACAGGTGTGGCCGATGACTAGCTGTGCAGCTATCGAGCAAGGCAAAGACCTCTGGTCAGCTCCGTGGCCAACCCAAGGTCTCTCAGACTCTAAAAGTCTAAGTGCGAGCTGAGAAGGCTGGGGCCCGACAACACGGAAAAGCGGTTCTGCAAAGGAACTGATTGCAACTGGTGTCCGGACAGGCGTGCTGACTGTGAGAGGGGGTACACGTCGTCGGCTAGTTTTGAATCTCTAAGTCTGGTCAAACATGTCGTGTCTACAATGCACAACTTTAAGATCTGCTGGCAGATGTCACGCAAACTGCACGTGTATGAATCCACACACAAATAATTGCCGCATTGAACTGCAGGGTGAATCGGCGGCAAAAACGCGCTCTGCAGCGGTAATGACTTATAGTAGATGGTTCCTGTTTCGCCCCATGCTGCACTCCCTTGATGTTGGAACAGTTTCCGCACTCTCTTTCTGCGTTAGCAAGAAAATGGTGGTCAACAACCTTTAATGTCATGTGGCAATCTTTAGTCAACATACTTCACGGCGAAGATACGCATTGACTGCGTGCGAATGAAAGTGCGAATGCTGGCAACCCGAAGACAATCGGAATGCTATGTTTAACTTCACTTCCACATCCCACCCGCACCTGCATGGCGACACTGACCTGGGCGGCGATGATGCCTTCCGGGAGCAAGCAATGCTTGCGTTCAAGGGCATGTGTATGGCAAACTTGGGACAATGCGAAAAATAACCCAGATTGTACATGCACGGGAGGAACTTCGTGAATGCAGCAGAAGTCCCTCGCCGGCCTGCACTGCCCGCACCTCCCGGTAGGCGATGGGCCTGCCGCAACGAAAGGGTTGTGCAGATGACCACTTTGGCTACGGCCAGCAATCGTGCAATTGCTCACGCACTTACAGTTGTCACGGCTTCAGGAGAGCTGCTGAAAAGCAAGCTGTACTGGCTCTTGAAGAGGCCGTGGCAAAGCAACCGCCAGCTATATATTTTGTGCTTCATCATGCGTGCTCGTTGGGAGGCCTGCATGGGGACACGTTCCCGTGCACCTCGCCCACTGGAAAGGGCACCTGTCAAAGCTTCCTCCCCAAATCTCTCGCTGCAATGACAGGACGCTTTGCTCTGGTATGCCATAGCTTGAAACTCCGTGCAATTCAGCATTGTACCTGGCTCTGGACTGGAGATGACAGCAAACTTTCCCATATATCCAGGGCGTCTACACCTACAGAAGTAAATGTATGCGAACTTGCCAACCCCTTAGTCGCACGTCCTTGCCAAATCTGGCTTATGGAGCAGGCTGCGCAAGTTTCACCTGACACCTGGCGGCACCTGGCGCATTCTTCTTGTTTCTGCACGCCATCTCTGTGAGTCCATCAACCAGCTGGTTGTTTTTGCCGTTCGAACCCTTACATCGCAGCTTATGTAAAAGAGCACTGCCGATTAAGAAATGAATTCTTCCTGCCAGCCAGCACCGTTTACTGCCTTTCGTGGGTTCAACTCGGCAGTCTAAAGCTTCTCACCACTGGCCCCGCAGCTCCTGGACTTTCCTGGGCTGTTGCAGCGTGTGCCTTTAAGCTTCATGGCTTTTGCGTAGGCCAGTAACGCAGGCGTTCAGTTTCTAAAGTCTCGCCCAAAAAGCCGGTGTGGTAAATGTGGGAACGAACATAGTGACATAGTACAAGCCCGGTCTTCCTCAAAAGTGAAGCCCCGCAGCCTATCACCGATGCATCTCCTGCACTGAGAGCATGCGAATCAAACGACGAATAGCTTTCCGATTTGTTCAGAACCTGCTGCCCGTCTACACTGGCACAGATACAGCACGCGCATTAGCATAAGCACCTGCACCACTATGACCAGGTTATGCAACTGCAAGGAAAGGGTCTGCCAAACGGCGGCTGGAGGCGGCTTTGTCCTCACAGAGTCTGTGGAACGAGTGCTTATGTCTGGGAGCCTTCGAGATTGCATGCTGAACCCTCCTCCCACGAAGAATTTTGATAACTTTGCAGACATGGACGATCGTGAACCATGAAACATGTAGTTGAGTAGGTAGCTCATGCTGAGATGCACCTACAGCATTCACGTGGCTCGCCAGAACCACTTGAGCCATGGTTTTTATTC